AAAAATAGGTGCAATCGAGGCGAACTTGCAGGCAATGACAGACGGGCAACAAATATTGACATCACTTACTGAGGGATAAGCAGACCTTAAGTAGGAACAAAGCGGGGGAAACGAAACGGTTTCATAATAAACAGGTGTAAGTCATGTTACTCGTGAGTAGTCAGAAAACACTCAGGAAACCTCATGACGTAAATTTTAATTCAACGTATTAGTGAGGTCTAAGTAACTGGTCCTTACGGGGGTTTATTGAATTTATGTGGGTTTCATGCCAGTACTATTGGCCCGCTAGTCTTGAACTGGCTCTCCGCATCAAAAAAGGCTCGATTTAAGATTAAGCCTGCAATCCATAGCTCACCAGGCGTAGAACTTATGGAAAGTGCCACCACACATTTGAACAGAAAATGAACAAAGAAGTCGATGTACACCTAAATGGCAGATGTCCCCGATCTTGTTTATTTGAAGCAAAATCACTACTTTGAACGGCTGAGTTGAAGTCAGCTCTCTCTACATTCCACCCGGTCTTTTTTGCGAATCAGCTTGCATGAGAAAATGGGAGTACCCAGACGAGAAACGTTCTTGTAATAGGAGTGTTAATCAAGGCTGACTGGGTTGTTGATCGTATGAGTGAAGACAGGGAGCGGCGGATAAGATTGAAGTTGCGAAGTCTGACAATGCTCACACCGCATGAGGTGGGATGGTTTCTTAGGGTGCTGAACGTATCTCCGAGCTGGCAAAAGATACTTGAGATCAATTACCACAGGACACCGTGATCACCAACGTTAATCAACCCGAAACTCGAATTCAACCTTCGGAGTGAATATAAATACCGCCTTCAGGGAACGGTCAGCTTGGGATGAGGAGACCTGCACAATTATTCTTATCCTCCTTAGTGTATCGCTTGAAAAGATTGGGTTCATATAATCATGAGGTTGGTCACTATGTGGGCGAATAGTGCATATTTGGGCTAGAGTTTTTTTCCACTCCTCCTGAATTCGCAAACTGTGTCTCTTGTTTGTGCTTGTGTATCGTCGTTCGACCGGTAATCCAAGCCCCCTCGTTGAGTTCACATGAATAATCCACTGTACCCGCGCAATAACCGGTTTTAACTATGTAGATCTTAGAGCAGTATCTAGGGTGCGTGCTTAGAAGATCCTCACATCTTCCCAAGTTCTATAATAGAAAAATTCGGCGAACAGTATCCCAAACACTAACGCACTCATCGGTTTGCTGCCTACGGCTGTTTGTCACACGTGAATATTGTCTGGAAAAGATGTGATTTACTATTTAAGCTTAAGTGTGGGTTGCTGATATTTTGTCGGGTGAGTACTAGAAACACTGCAACCACCTCCTGTCTTTTTCTCTCTGTCATTCACTACAGAATAAATAATCGTATATGAGTGTCCTTCTTTGAAATGCATTAAAACTAATGTTTTTTGCACCTCCATAACTCATCGGGCTGAGATGAGAGGCACACATGACACTCGGAGTCTTTCACGCCAGGTTGGCTGATGAAGTCAAAGTGACAGTGTTTACAACTTCAAATTTGTAGGTTCGGACATGTTTGTTGGCTTGCTCTCCAGAAGCTAACTCTCAGTTGTCACACTGACCACTCCATTATTGTGGTCACACTTGGTCGCGGATCATAAACGTCATCCTTTCTAGGTCTCGACTGCCTAGACGCATCTCAACTCGCGAGCAACTGTGAACAACACAGATATGGATTATCCGCAGTCAAGCCACTTGGATTATTAAATACAAGAGTACACATCTCTCAGGCCCTTCCTCGATTTTGTCAGTCATTACGGCTTGTTTCTGTCTGCCATGAATCACTTGAGGTCCACTTAACCAGCTTCTGAGAGGATCACAAGCGGACACTGTCAGGGGAATGCTAAAATGCCGTTGATTCTGTCAAATATGATTTGCCTCACTCTCCACGATCCGTCACTTGAAATCTTTTTGGTATCGGATTGCTCAAACTATGGCACTGACCCAATGATTTCACATGTATTCCCCGACAATAGCCAGAAAACGAGTGCACATACAGTCAGATAACTGACGCCCAGCGCAACTACAGTCAGATAGAAAAGGAAGCTTTAGTGATCGTTTTCGCCGTCAAATATTCCATAGAACATCCCAAGGACTTTTTTACCCTACCGGTAGATGGCAGGCCGCTCCTTATTTTTTTCGGTCCGAAGAAAAAAATTTCGTCGTGTACTACCAGCCGTCTTACGGCAACGAAGCATCAGTGTTGAACACTAATGCCATGATTTCGAGGGCCGATCGTCTTAAGGGGTCAGCCACTCTTCCTCAGGATCCAGTATTAGTCCACCGCCAGCCTGGGACAGACGGAAGCATAGTGGCGTCTCTTCGATGCAAGGTCAGAAGCCGAGGACACTGGAGTTGAAACAACTGCGTTTGAGACGGAGGTCAACCACTTGATGTCGGAAGCAGTTCGAGCTCTTCCAGTGACTGTTGGAATGGTCTGCCTGGATACAGACCAAGATACTGTGGTGCAGCAGGTCAACAAATACCACCGCAGTCAATGACTGCGTACCTGTCCAGTCCTAACAGTCTTGCAACCACCTACAGCTGAGTTGTCTTTTCTTTTGTTTGCAGTGAAACAGGTACTTTAGTGCGTAAAGGCTGTCCTCTGGTACATCCAGAGCTGAACGGATATGTTGTGCCATTTGGTTTCAGTTAGTGCTTCGTGTTCTCAGTGGTTACACACTTCAGGTTCAAGTGGATACGCCTTGCAATCTATCATTTCTGGTGCCGTGTTTAGGTACGCAAATGAATGGAAATGGCCTGCATTGGCGACAGTCAGTTCAACTAATTGTTCAGTCAGTACAAATTCATAAGGCAACCATTGCGCTTCGTGCGATGTTCCACTTCGTTTTTGGCCAGTGGCCTTAACACACAGCATTTCTATGCCTACATGCGTACGGTAGGATGAGTCAGAGTGATTCTCACACTATCTTTCGATGAATTTATTTGAATGGGGTTACTAACGGCAGTATATCTTTATCACTCAGTGAATGATGGGAAACAAAAACGAAACTGCGGGAACGATCTGCAGCAGACATCCATTGGATTTCATCTGGAATTGGGAAACCCTTGACCCAGATTGCTGTTAGCTAAATCTACTGATTACAGCTGATCTTATTGCACACCAACTGTACTTCCAAAAACAGGTGGAAAGAATTCACAAGTGTTTAAATTAACTTTAATCGACACTAGCTAGACCAGCAAAGCGATGTATTTGTTCAAAAATTTCCGGTACGCATTTGCGGTCGGTCCGATTGGTCTTCACTAGGGAACTGTCCATTGATCCAGGAAATCAACCATTCTCGTGTACAAGTTATCGCAGCAGGAAATCAACCAAAAATCACATTGGTACATCCTGTCACTTAGGTGGCGGTTAGCTCAGCCGCTAATGGAAGAGACCTGTTCATTGAGACTCCGTTATTCTTGCCCGGAAAGTTGCTTTTTTCTAGATGTGCCTAATGCTCGATCAAGTGCATTTGATTCATCGGACACAAAACAAAGTCGAAAACTGTAAACTCCCTAGACTTAACTACTGGCGATGCTGTTCATCTTCCCGATTCTACTTCAATTTTACTTCAGGAACCGATTCAGTTGACCCGCTTCAGAGACATGTTTACTACAACTGTATGACTCCTCTTCATTATCGTACCCCGTTTTATAGCGCTTGTAATGGACGGAAATCCATTTTAATTAGACATTACGGGAAGCAAACAATGCTCACTGGATGGCACCTCAAATGTGAACATTTTGGAAAAACGCAGATTTCACCCGTTATCCACTTGCTGCTTGATTTCAGGTGAGGTTATACTTTCATTAAATTTTCTGAATCGCACGCAATTCTGCGATAATAAAGTTATCGCAATTCATGGAAGCTGAATTCATGCTGTATCTCTCCATAGCGGAGATGGCACAACACTCACATACGTCAACGGAATAAGGTTATGCTGTACAGACATGTCCGCTGGTTGATTGTGGGGTGTAGACGAGTTTACAGCAACCCTGTCAGTAGTTAGCTGATCATGGTTGTACGTTGTTCCTCATAATTTGAGGCTTATGCCGACTCATCTCGACCACCCTGGAATTATGTCAGTGATGTCCTTTGCTGGTGATTGAGCTTATAATCTCCCAACATATTTCCACACATAACATGCATAGGATGCCAAATTTCAAAGTTCACACTCCCAAGCTCAAAACGACGTCACTACTGACCTACTGTATGCAGAAAACATCCAAACTTAACTGATTTGCTTGTTTTAACCTATGCATCGAAATTCGTTAGGAACCCGGCTATTGTTGGATGACGAAGTTTCTGTTGATGTTCACCTTCTTTCAAGTGTGGTGTTGCGTGGAACGTTCAATGCCCAATTATTTGAAATCGGTATTGAATTTAGCTTGACCTCATGCGATTCCTCTATCATTTGCATGCTACTTTGCAACCCCGATTTATTTTGAATGGTTAGAATTCATGGCAGAACGGGATCAGCCTTAACGAGGATTGCAGAGTTCAGATCTACAACAGTGACAGTTCTTGAGCATTAGTGTTATCAAAAAATTTATGAGCAAAATGACTTGCCATGACATAACACATATAAGGGAAGCAGGTGGTACAATGAAAGAAACCAATTAGTAGCCTCATTTCAGAAATCGTTTTGACTCTGTGGGGTTAATTTTTGCAAAAACACCATGGTCGCTAACCACCCCAGCTGATTATAGATAATCGAATGCCATTTGCATCAAAAGTACTGTATATTAGAATAAAATTATAAGTAGTATCGAACTGTAAAGAAATCAATAATAATCTTATTTGCTCCAGGGTCTGCTTTGTTCTTGATATCCTCTTGTCAGTTTTCAACGAAATCAGAAGAAGACGAACTGCCATGAATGATTTCACCCTAAAAACAATGGATAGCGTTTGTGTATAGTTTATTACTGTCTGGTACACAAAAGTAAAATGTTCTGTCTGTTTTGTCTTGTGGGAGAGTGTAAGGGGCTTCAATACGGGGCTTCCTAGCCGCTGCCTCACTTTAAACTGCATCATTTTCATTTCAATGTATTTTATATTTTATATTATATTAGGTCCTTTCAAAGAAGTTCGCGTATAGCAGGGTAAGGGATGTCCGAATGGGTGGTTAGGAAGCCAAACCGTCATTATGTGTTGGGGGTATTACCATGCCTTATGGACATAGAAAAGCCTCGTATTTATCCTGTAGGCAACTGTTGTCGAAGAAAGCACACGTAAGGGATGTCAGCAGGCTAGCTTCCTCGTACCAAGGTGTCGGTACGGAAATCCTCTTAAGGGTGCACTTCGGGGAGAGACTGAATGGGAAGAAACTACCGACGTCGTCCTCGACATCCTGTGGGGTCCACTGACAGGGTGAGAGAAGGAGGCAAAGCCCCAAGGGATGGGGGACTGAAAGACTCCTTTTCCTTTAGTGACTACTTGAAATACTACTAAAGTGCTCGTACGACACACCGATAGAATACTTGCACAAAGTGCTCACAACGCATCGTAAGTAATAACATACAACCACTGGCTGTGGCAAGGACCAGCATCTCACTGAGCTCACTCACTGTAAATTCATGTTAAACAGGGTTGGATATTTTAGTGCAGATGAGGCAGAAAATGTAAATATACATAAGCTAAAGCATGTGTCCGAAGAGTTGTTGGTTGGACGAATCCTTGGATTTGAACTTTCATTCATACTTCGGGAAGGATCGTCTAGAGTTAGACGAAATGTGAAACGGGTAACACTACCTGAAAATAAAATGAACTCAATGGACACTGAGGAAAGGTACGACGTTGTTAAAAGTTTGAATATTTACGAGTGAATTTTTAGGGTAAATCGCTCCCACATTTCATGTGAACAGCATATGCATTGCATGCCGAAGCTTGTACATGATCTTAAAATGCCACAGAAGATTGTGACTACACTACGACTTTGTTTTCTGCGATTTTATATCACACTATCTAAACTAGGATTGTTATTGGCTTTGTCCGAGAAGAATCGGAAAAAAAGAACCGCCGAACTATGATCTCCGGATGTATTCCGAAACAAACTAAAAACGATGCAGACTTTTGTGTACCTCACTTCCATAACATTTCCGGGTTCAAAATCATGCCATCTTTCTTGATGTCTATTTAGATCCAGATAGCTGTAGAGCCACAGTGGAAAAAATCGCCAGAGCCGAGAGTCGTCATCTCGGTACGCCCTCCCACGGGTTTCATTAGAAATCAATTCGGCGTTCTGTTATCGCTATTCCCTAAGGTGAATGAGTCGAAAAATAACAACGGAGACTATATGCTTGCAAATAAATAAGCAACTAGGAAACAAATGACACATGCTCACATAATATCGTTCAAAGCTGTTGATGTACAGGGAGTACGCTGAGAACAAAACAAACAGCACTCCAACCACAGTCCAAGGAACGAAGTTTGGTCGTGTGATCTTCTGGTAATCTCCAGGATCTGGTAACATAACAAGAAGTGTGGATATTAAGAAAACACTTGGTACGGGATGACAGCCAATTAATACTAAGTTTTTCAAGAGACGTCCCTTCTGTTCCTACATGTTTTTGAAGCTAAACCATCCACAGGAATAAAAATGGTTGTGTTTAGAAGAAATCAATCTATGGTTTGTGGATTGATACTGACCAAATCTGTGATCCAGTTAAGCTCTACGTTTGTCGAGGTGAACCTGTATATCGCTGAATAAAAGGATCGGCCTCCCGGAGATAGACCGAGAATGCACTTCAAATTCTGTGCCCTATTCTAGCATAAATTAGACCAGGCGTGATTCTTAGATGCTTACTTTCAAGGCATAATCTTGTGAAATGAAAGCCCTGGTGACATGTGCAGGTAACTTTTTATACCGGCTGTATAAGTTGAGGGAATCCAGCCCATGGGCTTAATTTCCCACGCTTTAATGATGGTGATGTGTGAAAGGTAGTCAATTTAATCTATCTGAGGCAGACCTCATTGAGAAGAAAACGTTTGTCTAACTAGGAGGGCCGCAAGCTGTTTACACAACTCTACCTCCCCGTCACTGGTTACATTGTCCACCGAATACGATGCTTCAGTTTTGTTCTCAGTTTTTTAAGACTAGAAGGGAAATTTTCCTTGGTAATATACTACTTGAAAAGTGGTCTTTTGACTTCACATTCTCAAAAGACCATGAATGGCTAGCAGTCGTTTGGTTATGTCTTCAAAGCATGAACCAGCAACTTTTGGTAACACGATTTCCTGGGGTCCTTTCAAAACAAGTTTGAAGCTCGGGCGAATTAAACGCTGTCTGTGTTTACCTTGGAACGGTCTTGTTGACACCAGGTTCAGTGGAACACCCACACCATGCTGATTTCTTACATGAAATATTGACCGACAATTTGGACATAGTAGGTCCGGTGGCAACGGGCCGCTGGGCTGATCAGAAACGGTATCGAGCACGGATCCGTTTGGGTAATGAATTTGGACAATGTAGGAGTGGTTCAGGGTGCATCCGTTCTCACGGGTTTCCATACGCATAGTTTGATCTCCAGGTGTTACCAAGACATCACTGATCGACGGAGGCGCTGTAATAAAAAAACGCTGGTAGACGAAAATTTATCGGCAAGGATTGGTTCTAGTGAATCTACTTCTACTCTACCGGCAGAACGATTCCAAAAACGTTGCTGCAGTGTATTTTTGGTCGAGTGTATTCTGTCAGTGAGTACAAACACACAAGATGCCCATGAGCAATCTTGCAATACACACAAGCCAGTAAGTAACAAGCAGTGGCAGATAAAATACAATCAACTCTATCAGGAGGATGTCGTAAGGGGATTCAGCAACTTATTAAAGTAGCTCCATTCTAGTTTATATAATCGGTCAGCACTACAATATCTGCAAATTAATCAACTGTATTTTGTTGAACGTAAATCCTTCCAAGAAAATCAAATAACATGATTGTAGCAACAAATCAATTGCTTGTCATGAACTACCATGATATTTGACTTATTTCAGCCTTGATAAATTCAAAAATACCTTCACTTATATCTCCATCGAAGATCCTCCTATCAAGTGAAAAAATTGCTATTGAAAATACTGTTTGAGTGGCAAAATGCCTCATTTTTTGGTGTGCCATCTTGTGTTCAAACTATCAGTTATCGGATGAGAAACACGATCACACCGAACAATGAGTGCGTGAATGAACACGTGAAAAAGACTGACGTAACACGCAACACTTAAGAACAACAAAGCAGCGTGTATTATCAAACATACGAAAAGGTAGTCTGTTTATGCGGAAAAGTCAATAAACGATGACACCCGAAAAATAATGAGCTTAACGAAAAAGTACAGTTTTGTACTATAAGCTATCTTGAGATGCTTCGATGCGGGTTTCATTTTTTCCCTATGGCCTTGGTAGTGTCTGAAAACATGTCTTGATCCCTTACATCCTAGTATTGGGTAAAACTGATGACGCCATGTGGGCACCAGAAAATAGGAAAAGCCATACAGTAAGCCATTTGAAATTTTACATACCGATACTAGCCACATTTCGGATCGGATGAAGTTATACGGGATTACGCGAATCCTACGAAAATAAGACATATATCAATCGGAAACTAATACCGCAAGTGAAGTCAGTCTTTCACAAAAAGTTGGATATTGAGTGACCCTTCTGGGAATCATAACGGAGCCTTTCTCACGAATCTTTAGATAGATTCGAACTCGCAACCTCAGGACCGTTAGTCAAACGTTAAACCCCTTGGTTACGAGGTTCTGACAAGAACAATGGATAACTTGTAATTTGTCAGGATGAAAAGATGTATGTGCTAGAAACCTTGCTACCATCAACATTTTGCTGTATTCAGCTAATTGTATCACAACGACCCTGTCGGAGACCAGGGAAAGATATCGTCGAGATCTGACGCTTCAGGATTGACTGCGCTTGTGGACCAATGATGGTTGCCTATCACCCGGTTGGTGAAATTAAGTCTATTTTGTGATTTGTGGTTGTTCATAAGCCCTCTGCACTAAATCAGCTTTCGATTGGTTTTAGATCGGCTAATGAGTGTCACATCCTTAAGGCAACCACCTGAACCAATAGCCCCTGTGTATTTTCATTAAAGATGGACAGAACTAGTGAGGTACAGAAGACAGCTTCCATTATACGCTGACGATCTCGAGCGAAGAACGATACTGATGGGTTCTCGTGCAACGGCATTTGCCCCAAACGCAAATGTACGAGTGGGCATATTTGCAGTGATGGGCATGGTGATCTGAAAACTGAGAAAAGCGCTGAGGTTTTGAAGACGCGATGAATTCAGTAGATTATACCAGATCATACACAATCAGTCGCAGCAGGCTTGTTTGCTAGGTTCTATTGTGCAAGCAAATGTAAGAGTCAGTTTCTTCATAAACATTCACTGCAGTTGCCTCGCATTTCACGCCAAATGGCCTCATGCCGAGGATGGCAAGTTATTTCACAAGTTTTGCGGTCAGAAAAAAATCGGCTCACCAATGTCTTTAGCTCATTAATCAATGGGCTGCTTCCAGCAGCGTGTCATCATCACCTAGTATTATGCAGGGTCATGGGGCACTGCAACTGTATGCATTCGTTGCACGGCTTGTGAGTTGCTCTGATACTGGATCGCAGAAACAGCTCGCCTAATGAGTTCTCAGAAGACCGCATTTGGTCCGCCTAATATCCTATTTTTATCAAGACGGTGTTGCATCCTCACCAGTTGAGTTTATTCACGAAGGGTCCGATTCGGGGATTCTAATTCCGCCCAGGCATACGGTGAAACGGTTTGAGCGAAAATTGCTTTATCCTTAAGTTTCTACAACTTTCACATGTGAACGGATTCTAAGAGTGCCTATAAGATGTTCCAATGACTATCTAAAACGGCCTCATACAAGTCATGTGTCGAAAAGCTTCGTTATATCAATGCCAAGCTCGAGGAGTCTAGCGGAATATTCAAAGTCTAGATTATGAATCATGGTATTGCAACTTAAAAGTGGATATTTTTGGATTTCCTTCAGTTAAACAGAAGATTACTCTCATAAATATAATCCATACATCGTACGAAAATTGCCCGAAAGACTCAGTAATCTACGGATAATGAC